GGGGTGGCTGTTTAGAGTCCCCCGTGCTCTTGAGGGGAGCTCCCCAGCGGGCCCTAATGCTGATTTCTTTTCTTAAAAAGTAAATTTGTGTGCATGTGCTGAAAGTAACAAGATTCCCGTTTGAAAATAAGCTGAGGGGGCTGGTAGAAGGGGGTACTCCTGCAGATTCTCTAGCTGGTTGTCGGGTCCATTTTGGTGTGGGAAGGGGAAAGTAGGAAAAGCAAAAGGACGATGTCAACAGTTGTGTCATCTTGCTCAATGGCTGCCGATATCGGGGTGGTTTTTGTCTGCGCTAAACATTGTTAAGCTGCCAAATGCATCTCGGAGATGCTTTGCCAAGAGCTCCCCTACCAAGCATATGGATATATATCAGATGTCCAGATCTTTGTTAATGGAAGGGGGTTTTGCCGGTTCCCGAGATCCCTAACACCATCCTTCCCATTTTGCAGGAACAGAGGAAGTGGTCTTTGGGAAAGTTGGAGGAAGCATCCTCCTTTTATGCCGAAATGTCTCCAAAGAAGCAACCGAGGTGGTCTGGTTTCAAGGGGATCCGCACTCTTTCGCCCCACTCTTCTCCTCAAGGGTCGCTTTCCCCCCGGACGTCCGTTTCTCCCTGGTTGACAACAGCTCTCTGCTCATCACAGAGCTACGTGTCCAGGACGAAGGCAACTATACTTGCAAGGAAGTATTGAACAAGACGGACCACGAGCACAGGGTCCAGCTCCTGGTAGCCAGTAAGTCTGTCCCGCGTCTGAATTTCCTCCCCTGAGTCTCACTGGTCCCCAGATACATCTGGCACCGGTGGAAAAATAGTGTGAAACAGGGCAAGGTGGTCATCTTGTGCAAAATCTGTGAGCAGGCTGATACTACTCAATGACACGTTCACTCACAAGCACCGAGACGTGTGTCTAAATCGCCTGTCAAGGATCAGTGGTGTGCGATGCAGAGGACGAAATGCCAGCTGCGAAGTCCTCACTATGTCTCTTCAGTTCCTTCTTCACTGGTAACGATAAATGACATTTTGGACAGATCTTTCATACCGTGTAGCTGCTCCAGGGTGGCCCTTTGCTTCAATCTGGCTGACTTGAGCCTTCATAAATCTTGGGGGTGGGGGATGCTGCTCACTGTCCTTTTTCCCTTGATGGAAATACGTGTTTGAAATAGATGTGCTGTGCCGTTCCTTGTTGCCGTCGTTTTGGTGTGAGGATGGAGGGTCCTCAGCTGACGAGTGGTCTGTGCGGAGTTTTACAGTGCAGCCTTCCGATTTTGATGGCAACACCGTGTTCCTCAGATTTACTGCTGGGAACGCTGTCCCGGCAGTGTGCCTGTTGTTATAAGCACAGGCCATTCTTTCAGCCCTTTTTCCCCCCTGTTGTGTCTTTTGGTGCTCTCTCCTATTCTCATCCCTATTCCATTCACGCATTCTCTTAGAAATCTTCAGAGCACGGGCGGAAGATCAGACTGGAGAGTCGATTACTTTGCGCACTGCTGGTGCAAGTCCTTCCAGCTTCTGCCGGAGAATTGTTATCTTGCCCAGATGTCCTTCTGTGGGAAGAGCCCGGATTAGCAGGGAGCGCAGGTCCCGTGGCTGGTACCACTCTTGGCCCTTTCACCAAGCCGAATCAGATGTGATGTAGGCTCTGGTCCCTCAGGCTGTGTCCTGCTGTTCTTTGTGCCAGCCAAGCCCATATTATAAGGTTGAAAAAAGAGCAAGATTGCTGCCAGTTTCCTATTTCAGTGACCCTGTGCTTTATTGGCCCCTGCCTTTCTTGTTGGTCTTTCCGTCAACACTGTGAGACCTGTTTTTTGTTTGCGTTCAGGGTGTTCCTTCCTTCTCGGTGTTTGGTGAAGGCTGCACGTTGTAAAAGTTGTACCTGTTTTGTACAGATTAAATCTAAGTTCACACGAGTAAAAATTCTCTTCCTGGGGTAAAGAACCTGCAGGTGAGGTTGGAGTGTCACAGAGGGCTGGAGTGAAGGAATTGAACCCAAGGCTGCTTCAGAGAATATATATGTAGGCATGGAGCTTAGGAGGGGGGAGCCCTAAATCTGAAGCATTGGTGCAAAACACTTGTGAGCAAAAGATGTCTATGACATGCCAAGTGTCGGTACTGCACTCTGAACTTCATTTATTAATGTGTCAATTAATTTCCAGAGGTTACAAAGGTAGTATGGGACAGGGGTGTGCCCTTAAATAGGTGAGAGAGGTGTTTCTGGTGGAGCAGAAGCAGCATCAGCGAAGGTCAGAAGTTGAAGGTTCTCAACCTATGGGCCCTGATTTTTCACATTCAGTGTTACTGGAGCAGCTTAGCCTGGGCAAGAACAACCCTGTCAGAGACAGACTTGGCACCACTGTAAAAGAGCCACCCAGGGTCTGGAGGCTTCATGTGGGAGTTACCAGTCAACAGTCTTCAACCCACCTCATGGGTTGTACCAAAAAGTTATCTTTTTGCTTAAAACTGCATTGAAAAAAACCACACACAGTAGAGGAAACATTCTAGCAACACAACAGAGGCGCAGCCCTGGCTTGGGCTGCTGCTCTGTGTTTGTTTTGGATGGGATGGTGTGAAGGAAACGTGCAATTGCACACCTCCAAGGGATTTCTTGGTATGTTTGTGTGCAATTTGATACAAGCCGCTGTTGGCTCTTCTGTGGGCACAAAATCCTTTTTGCTGGTGTTTTGTGAGGGTTTTTTTGGTTGGGGGAATTGGAGGTTTTTAGGTTTGTGGTTTGTTAACATTTTGGGAACAGATCTCTGCATTTAGACAGAAGAGTAGAGTTGTACTGGGAGATCCTGGGAGTTCAGGAGGTAAAGCTGATGGCTTCAATAGGCGGGTTCCTGGAACCAGCACAAAAAGTGCAGCTCTCTGGGTGTCCTGAAAGGGCTGTGTCCGCCTCTCGACGCGGGGCAGTTTCTGGTGATTCAGGCTGCCAGATTGCTCTTATCAATCTAGGATTCGTGATCAGTTATGAGACCTCCCCAGAGCTGGGACAGAGGAAGTATTGTAGACAACTTTCTTGCCAGAACCAGATGGTTTCAAAGATCACGTGAGATGCGTGTATATAGTTTCTGGAAAGCCAAGCCCCAAGAAGGGATGTTCTTGTAGCTTACATGGTGTTTGGTTTGTTTTTTAACTCATGTCACTTGAAAGGCACTTGAATACATGCTCTGCAAAATAAACACCAGGCATGCCTCCGGCCTCTTGTGTGGGACTTGCCTTAGCAGTGTCTGATCCCTTGGCGGGGTCTCGTTCCGCGTTGGATTAGGCAAGCCAGCCACGGGGGCACAGGGTGTTAATTCTGCCTGGATCAGAGTCCAGAATCCCTATGGCTGTTAAACGAACACGTGTGTGTGTCTGTGCATGGGTGTGCGTGTGTGTCTGTGCGTGGGGGTGTGTGTGAAACCAGCTGATGGGAGAGAGGCAGGAGCTCATACTGCATGAAACAAGAGTCCCGCTCTGCCCAAAGGGATCGCTCTTGGGTTTCTATTGGCTTCTGGCCCGCCCCTGCAATCATGCAGTTGTTTCTGTATTTAAATAACGAACATAGTCGTGGTGGTTACCAAGCAATTGGCCCTGGCACGAGGCCAGTGGTGACTTACCCTACCTATGTTCTTTGCTGGAGTTTGTCCCCACTGCCACAGTGTGGACACGGAGTGTGGTGCGTGGCTGAGGGACGCTGTCCTCAGTGGTGCAGGGAAGGAGCGGAGCATGCCTGGTTTGGCTTCAGCGGCGTGTGTCTGCGGCCCTAACTGTGCGAGCTGGAGTCACCGGGGCTGCCTGTGGGCAGAATGTCTTGTGCTGTAGGAACAGCCTCCTCCTTCAACAGCGTGCTGGGCTTGCTGGGGAAGTCCTCCAGCTTTGAGCTGGTGGCTCTGAGAAGCTGGTTACTTGTCCCTTGGCAAGAGCCCTGATGCTTTTTGTGTTCCCTTGGGAAATCCAAGTGCTCGTATCAGTGACGGGGAGAGGCAGAGCCTTCTTCTCAAGTAGTGTGAATCAGTGTCACCCCCTTGTATCTGAGGCACGAGGACCTGTGCTGTGATGAATTGCCAAGGGCAGCATGGAGATTTTGTTCTCCTGCTGCGTTTTTAGGTGCTTCTCTTGTTTCCACTGGATAGAGCTGTGGCAGTAATTTTCTTCCTCCCTGTAGATTAGTCCATCAAGGCTCGACTGCGGTTGCTGTTACAGCTTTTGTAGGACAGCCTCCTGCTTGGTCCCTGTTGACTGTCATTCAGAGTTGTGCTCCCCTGGGGCTGTGGGACACAAGTCAAGGAGCAAGATAGGCAGGGAAACCAGGAAGACTTTCAAGGGCAGTGATGGCAAAACCAAGCACTTGTGGGGGTTCCAGCCCTGAGGTGCCAAGAGCTGTGACTTGGAAATGTTTCTAACCACCTGCTGTTCTTCTGACAGATCCACCACACTCAAGCCCAAAGTGCTGGGCTGAGACCTCCTCATCGGGGATGATGCTGCAGCTGTTTTGCAGCTGGCCCGGGGGGTACCCCCACCCCACCCTGTACTGGAGAGAAGAGGGGCACGATCTGGAGAACTCCAGCTGGGTCATCAGCTCCACGAGCTCCTCGGACACCCACGTGGAAACGCTGAACAGCTCCCACCTCTCCCACCGCAAAGTGTTCAAGTGTGTCGGGAGCCATGTCATCAAGCAGGAGGAGCCTGCGTGCACTGTGGAAATAAGTGAGTTGACTTGCCTACCTTATTAACTATTAATGAGGTAATTAGTTAACTGCTAATGGTGGGGCTGACAGGTACCCCAGTCATTCTCTGCCCTCCAGAACACTAAGGCAGTGGTCAGGCAAGCCAGGCTTGCCGCAGGGGGAGACGCTAACAGGGCAGCGTGGCAGGGCTTGGCTTGTGCAGAGGTGACTGTACAAGGCGCAGAAGTCCCACAGCTGAGATCCATCATGGCATAGTTGCAGGTGAGTTGTGTTTTGAGTACATCTTCAGGGGCCGACAGATCTCCCCGCTCCAAGCTTTTCACCTGTGCAAGCACTCCTGCCTGTGTGAAAGGTTTTAGTGCCTTGCTCAGCTTGAGATTAAGTTTGGCAGGGATGGGTTTATAGCAGAAGGGTTGTGCTGCCCCCGGGCCCCCTTTAAATATCGAAGGGGATCTGACTAAAGTGGCTTTTGAAAACCTGAGCTGTGTTTATCCTCCAAGGGTTGTCAGGGCTACACAAGAGCTCTGCTGATCCCAAGGGAAATCCTTGAGCTGTCTTTCTCCTCTCTGCCATCTTCCCACTGGCTACCTTCTGACCGTTCTTCCCTGGGGATATAAAGACAAGTGTCAAAAAAAAGGACTGAGCAGTGTGAAAGTTGCTCGGATCGCTCCTTGGAAGGCTGCTGAAGTCTTGTGAGTGAACTGAATGCCAGACACACAGTGCTCAAGTCCCGGTCTCCAGTCTGACTTCCTTCTGTTAATGATTATTAATCAGTCAGATGGCTGATTACTTGTTATGTTAAACTCCTCCGTTCCCTCCTTGACTTTTTTTTTTCCCCCCCTCGGGCTGTTCAGAACGCCCTTCACTGGAATCAGAGCCCCCCAAGACCTGCTTTGTGGGTGACAACGTGACCCTGACGTGCCGTGTGACCGAGAGCACCCCAGCAGCGAGGGTCACCTGGCTGCGGGGCATCACCCACCCAGAGGTGGAGATCCACCCCGGAGGGAGGTACCTCATCGCCCAGGAGGGCAACGTGTCCCGGCTCACCATCCAGAACTGCTCCCAGGGCACCGATGGGGGCTGTTACGTCTGCAAGGCCCAGAACCCTGTGGGGCTGAGGGAGCTGTTCGTCTGCCTGACAGTGAAGCGTGAGTGGAGCTGCCTGGGGTTGCTGCCGCAGGGAGTGAGGAGGAGGCGGCAGGGACCTAGTTCACGGGGGCCATCAGCGAGCCCCCAAGGGGCTCCGTTTGCCACTAGGAGCCCTCTTTGCCTGTTGATGCTTTCTGTACTCTTGCAGCAAATGCAGGATTGGCTCCCTTCATCCCAGGGTGAAGAGGCATGATTCCCCTCGCCTTGGCATAACGGTGCTGAGAGGGGAGCATCCTTGGTCCCTGCTGTGGGTTGTGGGCAGAACCCTGTGGGGCTGAGGGAGCTGTTCGTCTGCCTGACAGTGAAGCGTGAGTGGAGCTGCCTGGGGTTGCTGCCGCAGGGAGTGAGGAGGAGGCGGCAGGGACCTAGTTCACGGGAGCCATCAGCGAGCCCCCAAGGGGCTCCGTTTGCCACTAGGAGCCCTCTTTGCCTGTTGATGCTTTCTGTACTCTTGCAGCAAATGCATGATTCCCCTCGCCTTGGCATAATGGTGCTGAGAGGGGAGCATCCTTGGTCCCCTCTCAGGGGAGTTGTGGGCACAGAGGACCTCCTCTAAGGTGCAACAGGCAGGGGTCAATTTGCTTTCCCTAAATGCACATGGGCACAAAAATAGGGGCCTTGGGGTGGTGTTTTCCATACCAACGAAGCACAAGTGCCCGAAACTCTCCCTCCTCGTGCTGTTGGGACTGTTGCAATGACGGGAAATGGGAGACAGCACCAGGACCTGCTCTATTGCTCGTACCGAGATTTCCTCATCTATCCGTGTCCCGGTGACAAGCTGGCCTCCTGTGTCTCCTCTTCTCTCCACAGAGCCAGTGAACATCGTTGGGGTCGTTGGTGCAGTGGTGGTCCTGTCCCTGCTGGCTATTCTCACCATCACTGGGGTCGTCTTGTACTACAATCCCCTCCTGTGCCTGAGAGGTAGGAGACAGGGAGGGGGTTACTCCTTCCTGGGGTGACCTGGTTTTATCCCTGACCAGCTGGTGTGTTGGAGTCAGCCACCGATGATCACTGCAGGCCTTGGGCCTCATCCTGCTCCTGGTCAAAACCCTGTCAGCCTTGGAGGCAGATGGGTTGGAAACACAAGGCCCTTCCCCAGCTGAGTGCTTCAGGCACCTTCCCCTCACCTTCTCCAGGGAGCTGTGCTGTGGTGGGCCCTCTCCCCTTTCCTTGTGACCTTTCCGGTGCTCTCATTGTATACGTGGGCAGGTCACCTTCACCTCTACGTGGGGCTGCCAGAGACCATCCTGCTGCAGGCAGGGTTGGCAGGGGTTGTACAGTAAAACCAGTGGTGTGCTGCCCGAGGAACTGCTCTGGGGCTGGTTTCTAATGCTATCTTTTCCCTTCCCTCCTCTCCGATTCAGGTACTGCATTCAGGTGAGTTGATTTTCCTCAGCCCAGTCCTGCGTGGCCTCACCAGTCCTCCTCCTGGCAGAGGCGGCCTCCCTGTAGGGTAGGGAATCCACCTCGGAGCCGTGCCTCCCACGGGAAGGGGACAGTGGGGATGAGCGAGACTCGGTGCGGGAGCAGGAGGATGAGGGGAGAGGAGAGGAGCGGCATCGCTTTGGGATGCACAGGGACGGTGCTGGCAAGGCACCCGTTAGTGTGGGAGGAGGCTGTGCAGGAGAACTGCTCCTTGGTGCAGGTGAGCCCGAAGACTTAGTAAATAGAAGTGGTGATCGTAAATAGAAGTGGTGATCTTCCGCCACTCTGTATGGGTGTTTGCCCGTGTCATTCCCCTCTCGGCAGGGATGTCTGATAGCTGCACGTGAACAAGTGCCTTCTTGAGGTCCAAGCACACCGGATTTCTTCACTGCTCCCTGCTTGCCCCCCTCCTGGCCCCACTCCCCTTCCTTGCCCTCTTGGCTCTGCTCCCCCAGCTGTGGTGCTGCGGCATGGGAAGGCTCTTTCCTGAGTGCCTTCCCTTCGCCATCTGTACGGGAGGGGAGAGTAACTCACTTGGGAAGGGCCCGTGCAGTTTAGCGCATGAATATTTGTGAAGTGCTTGGAGGACTTTGGAAGATGAATGGGAAGCAGTGCGGAATGCCGTTGGTGGCGTTGCTGCCAGCAGGGGCTGAAACCACCTGTTCTTTGAACGTGGTTAGTGCAGGATCGGAGGAGTCCCTCGAAATCAGTTGTTTTGTTATAGAGAGGGTTCAAAGCCAGGGAAGGCACAGGCTGGAGAGAGGGGTCAGGACAGGCTGTCATCAGCCTTTCAGCCCACCTCCGCTCGCTCTGCTGTTCACAGGAATCAAGACTCGGGTGATGTCTTAGTGCTGGTGGACTCAGAAGACGACGATGAGGGGAAGGGGGAAGAGGAGACCACGAGCAGCTCCATGAAGCATGAGGCAATGGTACTGGTCAATGGGAACAGCGTGCAGGCCGCTTACCTCAACCTCCCTACAGAAGGTGAGCCCTGGTGCCTGCCTGCCGGCTGAGTTTGGGGCAGGAGCTGCCAGCTCTCCGGCTGAGCTGTGGGTCTTCCAAGTGCAGCTGCTGGGGAGGGAGGAATTCCTGTTCTCTGATCTGTTGGGTTTTGATGAGATGCTGCTGCTCTGTGCTTCGTGTAGGTGACGATGGTGAGCAGCGTGGCGGGGTCTCTCTGCAGGAAACGAGGGAAGAGACGCAAGGCACATAGTGTCCATCTCTTCTTGCAGAAGCAGACGGAGCTCCGGCTGACGCCCAGCCTCAAGCACGTCCTCGCTGCCCTGTGGCTGAGCGCAGGCCATTGATGTCCTGCAGCGGGCTGGTTCGGTCAGAGCATCCCCACTTTCTCCAGTCTCCCTTTCCTCAGCTTTCACTCCATCCTTCCCCAGCCATGTTTCTCCATTTCTTCTCTCCTCTTTTCATTTCCTCTTTGTCTCAGGTGTCCTTTTTAACAAGGTGGCACCCGGCACAGGCAGAGCTCAAGAAGTGGGTCCCAGTACCCCACTCATCTTGATGCCTGTAACGGACTCGAATACCAGTATGGGATTCTGGCTCCGTCACCGTGAGCAGTGCTGGGGTTGTGGGGAGCGTGATGGAGAAAGTCACTGCGGGGCTGCAGCAGTCCTGGGATAACAGAAGAAACAACTAGTGCATGGACAGGACATGGGAGATGCTGACTCTAGGGAGGCTTATTTGTTTTTATTACAAATTTATTACAAATATTTTTTTTTCCCAAGTCCTTTTGAAGTGTTGCTCTGTATCTAAGTCGGGAGTTACTCTGTACCTTGCAGTGTGGTTTTGAGGGGGATGCCTGGCCGTGATGGAACGCACAGAGGGAACTTGTACGGGGAGGGATGAGGAGAGCAGGATCCGCACGGGGAGCAGGGCAGCTGGGGAGGGGAACTGTAGCGGGGGTAACGGAGGGGCCAGGGCATGCGGGAGGGGATGGAGGGACGGTCAAA